GCTGGACCCATCTCGTAACGGGTGTTGGGATGTACCATCTGACACTGATCAGGGTTCTACTGCCATGGCTCTGAGATGGAAACGCTGGGCGCAGTAGTTACCATGGCCCTCTTCTGAAACAAAGCTCTGGTCCTATGGCCTGCATTCCGGAGGGAGTTAATGAGCAAGAAACTGTGCACCCAGACCCACCTGTACAGTCTTGGGTTTCTGTTCACCCATGGTGCTGCCCACAACATGGCTGAGGTTGCCCCTCTGTTGTCATTGTTAGTTTGAGAAAAGATCTTCCTATGTACCTCAGGCTGGTTTTGAAGTCACGATTCTTCCACATCACTCTGCTGAATACTGGGATTACAGGTGTGCATCAGCCTACATGACTTTTGCTTTTGTAGTAATAGTATCCTATTGTTTGTTCTCTCATCATCACCGTAAGTCACGTCTTGAGTTTAAATGCCTGCTCTGCCAACCATCCTCTTAGCTCTGTCAGCTGGCAAGAGGTTCTGCCTTGTGCTGAGCCTCACAGGATTGACGCTGTGAGCCAGCTTCATGCCTTGTATGATTGCTTTGAGGGTTCAGTGAGGTCTCAGGTGTGTGTGCCTTGTCTAGGGCCGTGCCCAGAGCATGCTATGCAGCCGCAGCTACTAAGTGGAGTATGTGGTGTAGTAGCCAGTGGTGAGAAGCATGTGTGATCTTACGTGAACTCAGAAAGTGCGCTGTTTCTACTGAACTGTGAGATCCAGGTCAGAGGATTGCATGGAGGGTGTGCTGAGCGTCTGCTCCCAGCACTGTGGAGCTCCCTTGAGTCTGGGATTACTGACATTCTCCCTTCTTATTCTCTCCTCAGCTTCGCCTCAACAGTATCAAGAAGCTTTCCACCATCACCTTGGCCTTTGGAGTGGAAAAGACCAGAAGTGAACTCCTCCCCTTAATTACAGGTGGGGACTCTTGGGGCACAGTGCAGTTGCGGTGCCTCGAGATGGCTTCTGCTTAATAAGAGAAGCCCACGGCAGGGGCCTTGGATAATGGGGTAAGAGGGTGAGGTGCAGGTAGACAAGCTTTATGTACTGCAGGACTGTGTTGAGGGGAAGGCTGAGGAAGAAGATGGAGGCAGGATGTCCTCTCGGAAGTCTGCTGGAAGACAGCTGCAGACCCGGAGTGAGGCCCCCAGCCTGAGACCTGCCTTGGGCTCTGCAAGGTGGAAACAGTCATGTGACTCATACTAGAGACATGGAGAGCATTCAGTCCATTCAACACATAAGTGTCGGCTGTGAGGACAGTCTCATCAGACAATGTTCTGCTTGCCTGGATGGAAAGAACTGGGGCAGTGGATGGCGGGAATGTGGGAGCTTCAGACCAAGAGCTGCCAGGGAATCCAGACACTTGGGGTCAGAGTCCCAAGTGGCTTTCGGTTCCTTCTTCTCTGTACTTGCTGCCTGGGAGCTTCTCCAGTTGCATGTGGCAGGAGCCGTCTATGGGAAAACGTGGTGCTGTCCACACAGAAAAGCAGAAGCCTTGGCCTCACGCCTACAGAACATGCAGGATTGGTTTTGTGAGTGATTACTGCAGCATGATTGTGGACTAGAGCAAAATGCCAGGCTGGCATCTTAAAGGACAGCAGTGTAGTGTCGCTGTTCTGTAGGTGGTGCTCTGAGCCTGGGTGCTTCTCTTCCTGTGGTGAGTCCTAGGTCAGAAAGGAAGAATCCCTGAGATTGCCGGTGCCCCAGCCTCCCCTGCCCAGCCCTGAGGCCTGAGACTTTGGCTGGGCTTGGCGCTGTCTTCGGGTGGAAGCCGGGCAAGGGGCCGGTGGTTGGGGGCAGGCTGGGGGAGGGACAGCCTGCAAAGCCTCCAGGAGGCAGTAGCTGAACCGAGTCTGAACCGATAGAAAAGGATTTTTGGCAGAGAACAGTGCTGAGAGTGTAAGCTGTACCTGAGCAGGAAATCTGCATGCCACTGTGTTGCACAGGATGGGACTCAGTCTCCCCTCCCTGAGGGGTGTAGAGTGGCCCTGTCACACAGTGCTCCCCCACCCACCTCCAGCCCATATCTTTTTCTCTGTGCTGGCCATATGGGAAAACTCTGGGTAGTGACAGCTAGCTTGTGCATCTTGGGGCCGGGATCCCAGGGTGCAGGGACCCCAGGAAACTGGAAGTGGCACTAAGCTTCAAGTAGTAGAGCACTAGCCATGAGTAAAAGAGCTCAGGGACAGCACCCAGGCTCTGAGTTCAAGCTCCACTACTGATTTCCCGCTGCCAATCTCCCCCCCAAAAAGTCATTATAACAAGGATCCATCTGCTTTAAAGGTTTCTCCGCCAAAGCACTATCAGCTGTAAGAAGTGAGTAGTTGGGATTTTAATGAAGTAGAAACAATGGGAAGGTAGATACAGTCTGGCAGGGACTTGACTAGGCAAGGTGTGTGCAATGTGCAATAGTGGCTACCATCATGCCTGGACTCGGGTGTGACCCAGGAACAAAGTCAGATGGTGCCTGTCCTAGGCATCAGTCAATGGTTACTCCCAGATCTAACCAGGCATGAGGGCTTCCCCCCATAATTCCCCAGGACAGGACTTTCTTAGCCCTTCAGAATTCCACTGTTTTACTCCCAATGGCCGCACTTCTCCAGGCTGGTTCTTTTGCGAGGATGGCAACCACAGTGTGGCATGCTCTACCAGCAGGAGGTACACAAGGGGTGGGGCCTGGAGCCCCCAAGCTAAGCATGCAGGGTGTGGGGGGGAGCTGACCTCCCAGCTGGTTCATGAGCTGAGTCTCACCTTTGTGTCACAACCCATTTTTCCTGGAAGGCTTTGTTAGGAGCTTCAAGTCATCCCCACAAGTGAGAGGTGAGCATGCCTCCTTCATATTGAGCATAGTCACGAGATGCTGCTGTGAATGAATCCAAGTCAGGAGCTGGCTGTGAGCTCTTGCTGGCAGGTGTGCGGCGGGGGAACAAGAGTCGGGGGGTCCGGCCACAGTGTGGCAAAGACATAGGGGACAGGAAAGGGATTCGTACAAGATGGTGGCACAGAACTGAGGGTGCTAGGAGAAAAGGAGGAGACAGAGATGGAGAAATGCCACGCCTAATCCGGTGGAGTCTGCTTAGCATGGGAAACCTGCTTTCAGATCTGAGAATGGGGCTTCAAAGAGGCCTACTTCCTGGAAAAGGCTGTCAAACCCCTGGGAAAGATGTGTTTCTATTCCTGTTTTTCTTTTCTTCACTGTATAGGAGTGCCTATTAATCTTATACTGTTTCTGCTGCTTGTTCTACTTACTCATGCTCAACGTTCCCTTATTCAAGGCTCTTTCTTGGAAGTGTTGACGACTCCAACATCTGATGAGTGTCCTGAGAATATGACTAACTCACCAGAGTTAAGTGCTACCCTGAAAGCCCCTCTTATGGAGGCTAGTAGACAAGTCATAAGTAAATATAAAAGTATTGGGGGTTTCATGACGTCACTTCAGCAGAAGGAATTGTTTGTAAGAGATTTACAAGAAGCTGTAGGCACAGCTAGAGCAGAAAGAGTGTATGGCTATTGGAGACTTCCGTTTAATCCTAAAGCATATACAATAGACTCATATAGATATCCTGTAGATAAGAAAGCTGTAGAGGGCTATTTAGACCAAAAGCTAAATAACATTCCTAAAAAGTTGGTAGATGGAATGTGGCAATGGCATATCAGAGGAAAATGGTGGGATCCTCCATTATCTAGAGGACCCTAAAGACTTCCCCCAGATGCATAGCCTTTAACAGGTGTGTATGATAAGGATCGCAACCGTTGGGAAAACTACTTAGGAGAAAGAACTTCCTATTACTCTCTTTCATTTACTGAGAGACTTGCTAGATCTAGGCCTCCTTGGTGCTTACTATCAAAGAAGGAACAAGAAAGATCTTATGAGACAGTTAAGGCCTCTATGGAGAAGAGTAAACGATTATGTGAAAGGGTTACAGAAAAGACACTATGAGCTTAAATTTGATATATGGCCAGATTTAACTAAGTATACTGAATATCTTGATTTTGGGCCACAAATTGGGGACCCTCTAAAGAATGGCAAAGAAGCACAATTGCTCAGAAAAGATTTGAAACTTATAAAGTATAAAACTAAACAAAAGTAACTATGAAGTACTAGACTTCATGCCTTTCTGTTCAGCAGCTTGCCCATATGCTCTGGTTAGTGGTTAATAGGTGATAAACATCGAAACCAATTGTATTTCTTAAAAATAGAGGTAAAGCCTGGAACAAGTGCCTATCGTCATACCTCGTCATCCAAAAAACAAGATCAGGCGACCAGCTGGTGACCACCCAAGAATGAAGTCTTGCAGCAACATTGTGTAAAATTTTGCCCTTTCTCATGGAGACTTTTGCTATAAAAGCTTGTTATCCTCTGAAATAAATCGCACTCAGCATTCACCCCTCTTGTGTGTGAGTTGTCTGTTTGCCATCTCCCCACCTATTCCAGTTACCTCCACTAGGTGTCCTCCGTCGTCCCAACAAAGCCTCTTGTGTGTGAGTTGTCTGTTTGCCATCTCCCCACCTATTCCAGTTACCTCCACTAGGTGTCCTCCGTCATCCCGACAGAGCCGGTCCGCAGCAGAGAAAAACCTCCTAAATGTGGGAACTCTCCAGAAGTAATGAGTCCAGACAGGGCTGCATGTCAGCATGACGATGGGTGTCTGTGCATCCAGTGTACTGCAGGGGTGCATGGGGTGCAGAGCCTAACCTTGAGCTGAATAGCTGAGGGACAGCACCTAGGCCCAGAGTTCAAGCCCCAAGGTCAACCAAAAAATAAAAGAGGAAAAGCGTGTGGCGCTTGCGGAGCGCTGTGGGGGAGGGGTAGTGCAGGGCTTGGGTTGTCTTGGATTTGGATCATGCTCAAGACAGAGTGTGAGGTGGGTGGAGGGTGGGGTGCTGCTGGGGATCGGGTGCTGAGAGGGGGTGGGTTGGGGGCAGGGAATGCCTGTGTCCCCTCACAAGGCAGGGAGCTGGTGGAGGACGCGCGCTACCCCTAGGTCAGGAGGCTAAGTCCACATCCACACTCTCCAAGGTGACACAGACGGGGAGGACCTATGGGGACGGGAACACCAGGGGTCAGGAGAGGACCAGGTGTGTGTGAGGTTAATGATGACACCAGACAGCTCCCCATGGAGCCCAGAGCATGCATGTGCTGGGTGGAATGACTTTGGGCTGGATTAAGGGCATGGGGCATGGAGGGAATCTAGCTAAAGCGAGTGTGGGGGGAGGGAGTGCAGGGACGGGACCTGTGGTTCAAGCCTTTCTGTGGTGGGGTGGCTGTAGGAACTTCAGGATCAGGAGGAGGCACCTGGCTCAGAGCCCAGAGTCCACACAGCACCCGGCATAGTCCCTGGATGGCTCCTGGAGGCAGGCCTGCCATCTGCTTGCTTCCCTTTTCTGTGCCGGTCCCAGGACTTGAACTCAGGGCCTGGGTCCTATCCCTGAGCTTTGTGCTCAGGGTTGTTGACTGTCCCCGGGAAATCAGTGCTACTTCTGGCTTGCTGTCACCCTGCAATTCATTCCTGAGAACAGAAGGGTGGAGGTGGAGAGCCCTGGACAGGAGGCCCCTCCTCATATTCAGCACAGCAACCCTGACCTGCACCCAAGAGGCTGTGGTAAAGTGACCTCATAACAAGAGACATGAGGAGCACTGCAGGAAATGTCACAATAGCCAAGCAAGGGACTTTCTCAAGGAGACTTCGTGTTTTAAAAACAACTTTATATTTAAAAGGTGCTTTTCAAAAGTACACTTGATGTCCTTGTTGAATTAGCAAAGAGTCTAGAGATATGTAACATAGACTGCCAAGGAAAAGAAAGAGTTGTGAAAATAAATTATGTGTAAGAAATAAGCATGGACAAGACGAAGGGAGTAACTGTCAGGAAGGAGCCTTAATATTTGTGGTCAGTGGTACACCAGCAGGACTCCCTTTTTTTCTTCCTTCCTTCCTTTCTTCCTTCCTTCCTTCCTCCCTCCTTCCCTCCTTCCTCCTTCCTTGCTTCCTTCCTCCTTCCTTGCTTCCTTGCTTGCTTGCTTGCTTCATTCCTTCCTTCCTTCCTTCCTTCCTTCCTTCCTTCCTTCCTTCCTTCCTTCCTTCCTTCCTTCCTTCCTTCCTTCTTTGCTGGCTTGCCCTCTCTCTTCTCTGTCTGTCTCTGTCTGTGTGTCTGTGTCCCTCATTCTCACTTTCCTTCTTTGTGCCAGGCCTGGGGCTTAAAATCTGGGCCTCCATTCTGTCCCTGGGAAGATTTTGCTCAAAGCTAATGCTCTACCACTTCAGCCACAGCACCACCTCCATGTTTGTTTGTTTGTTTAGTGGTTTATTGGAGATGAGAGTCTCAGAGAGTTTTCTGCCTAGACTGGCTTTGAAATGTGATCCTTAGATCTCGCCTCCTCATGAACTCAGAATACAAACATCAACCACCGCACCCAGCTGCTATTTTCTTTTCTTTATTTTTTTTTTTATTGTGAGAATACCCTACAGAGGAGTTACAATTATATGGGCAAGATAACGAGTATGTTTCCTATCAAGCATTGTTGCCTCCTCTTTGTTTCCCCTTCCCATCCCTTCCCATACTCCCGCCCTCCCCCAACCCGATTCTCCCCCACACCAAAGTTGTAAAGTTCATTTTTCCACATAACAACTGTACATCTCATTGTTGCAATGGGTCCACCTGTATCCCTAGTTAAAAGATTTGTTTTTTCCCTCCCCCTCCACAAATTATACCAACATCAAATACAGTGAAACATGGGTTATACCATGGAGGAAGGACATACAAAGCAACATAGAAATCATCTTATAAATATGTTAGAAACAATTGCCAGCTGATATTTTCTTTCCAACTATTTTCTTCTCCAGAACAGAAAGGGCTTTAAGAATTATTTGCTTCATTGCATAGGGAACTATTATGAAAGAAAGAAAAAAAATCAAAAGACTCAAAATGTAATTAGGAAAACCTGTTAAGCGAGTTTAACCAGTATATCTTGAATTTGACATGACTACCAATTAATGGGGCAGATTCTCGGGAGGAGCTTGACATGACCTAATAAGCATTATTCAAAATCTCATATTTCCACATTCATATAATTCTGTGGGCCAGCAAAACAGAGACAGATGAACACACACAGAGATATATAGCACACAAATGCACAGGTGTGGACATGTGCTCACACCTCTATCTCTCAGCAGATGACTTTTATCTACGTGTGGAGATTGTTGAATGGCCAAGCAAAGTTAAGCAGAGATGCGAGCTTGGTGGTCCTCAGGGGAGGACCACTTTCTTCTTCTTTGTGCAGGTGAAGAGGAAGCTGCAGGGAATGGAGTGTCCGCTCATGAGCAGGAAAGGGCTGAGGGCTGGGAAACAGCCCATAGCAAATTCCGCTATATGGTGCAGCACAGGGCTGGGGCTGTAAATTACAGATAAGCAAATCTGACAGATGCAGGACATGGTATAAAAGGAGACAAAGGCACTCACCAGGAGGAGGATGCTTATGGTGGCTCTGGACTCCAGAGGGGCTCTGGTGGAGACACTGGTCCTCTGGATGTGTCGCATTCTCTGCTTGTGTCTGTACAGGATGAAGAGCATGGAGGTGCTGGCCCAGAGCATGAGCCCCAGACACAGAACATCAGGCACCGAGAGTATGGCCACGTGCAGCATGTCAGCAACTGGATCATTACACATGGAAGAACAGTATCCATAGGCTTTTAAGCTCGTCATATTGTCATGTGCTTTGGGTCCGATCATGTACATGAGACAAACAATTCTCACAAGGAGGAAGATCCCCCCCAGCTGAGGTACACTGTGGAGACACTGTGCTTGTGGGCTCTCCCCTTCAGCCCTGCCCACCTGGAGTCTCCCTGACTGATGCTGACAGCAAGGAAGATGCTCAGGGAGCAAGTTCTAACAATCGACACCACCCTGCCCACTCAGTGAAGATAGAAGACAATTTTGCACCCCACATCATTTAAGAAAATTCTCCAGCACAAAGCCACCATGGTTTGGGAAACACTCCTACACAGAAGACTTAGGAAGTTGGCCACAATTAAGTGCCTAAGAATCAAGTCTGTGGCTCTCATCCTGTTCCCCATGCAGGAAAGGAATAGATAATGGGAGAGAAGAGACAAATTACCCACAAACCCAACCACAGTCTGGCCTAAGAGGATCACCCCCATAGACACATGGGCATCTCCCATCCTCTCTGTTCCTTGAGTCTCATTTAGAGGCTCTGGCTTGGGAAACTGAGGCCTTCATGGTGCCAAGGGAACTCAACATTCTCCATCCTGCATTCACACCACTGGAAATACTGTCCTACTGTCTCTCATGTATTAGGAAAAATCCAATTCTATTCATCCATTGGGAAGAGGAAGACGGCATGTTCAGGGAAATGGGTGAACCTGGAGAATGGCATTAAGGGAAGGTGAATTAGGTTCTGAGATGAAGGCAGCTACATTTCTCCTCTGTAGAATCAGATCTAAGATTCTAAACAAGCAAGGCCCTAGTGGCTCAAGCCTGTAATCCTAGCTACTCAAGGGCTGAGACCTTGGATGCCCAATTCAAAGCCAGACCAGAGAAGTAAAGTCTGTGAGACTCTTCTCTCCAGTTAAGCACCAGCAAGCCAGAAGTAGACCTGTGCTCAAAGTGGTAGAGGCCTAGCCATGAGCAAAAAGGGCTCAAGGAACATGGGCAAGCCCCAAGTTCAAGCTCTCTGACTGACTAAAGAAAGAAACTTGAAACATGCGTGACACATTCCTGGGGTCACATGCACTTATACCTCAATACACTGGCTGGGGGAGTGGGTCCCAGGTGTCACCGTTTCCTCAACACGGAGCCCACATTTCACAGAAGAAATACCAGGAAGATGAACCAGGTCTGCAGTGGGGATGGTGCGGTTGAAGGAGGAGGTGGATGACAGAGAACGAGAGGGGCAATTTTAGGTTCAAATGCCATTCTAGAGTCACTGATGTGAACACATCTTCCCCAGCCCCTGGACAATCAGGATTCCTCCTCACTTGTCATAAACCAGGACAGACTCTGTGAGGAAGAGGAAGTGAGGAACCCACAGGGCTTGGGGGTGGGGGGGCCTAGAACCCCAGTTCTTTTCACTGTCCTAGCCCATTCCTATCCTTCCCTGTTTCTTTGTCATGCATCCGGTTTCAATCCAGAATCCCTGCTCCTAAGGTGATTCCTTACCCAGAGTGTGGAACCTGGGGTCTCTCCTGCAGGCCGCACCTCTCCAGTGGCAGTGAACACAAGTGCTCGCCTCTTCTCTCAGGATGTGCGTGGCAGGGCGGGTCATTTCTGAGATGCGCATGGGCACTTCAGAGCTGCAGAGGGCTCCTTAGATAGTTGTCCAGGAGGTCGGCAGCCAAGGTCATCTCCCGCGGGAGCGGTGATTTTCCCTTCACCTGGGGTGGCAGACCAAGTTCTCAGTAAACATTTTCTTTTCCCCCATGTGACAATTATCAAGACACTTTTCACTTTCATGTGGGTGCTTCTCCAGGGGGCAGGGGAGTGGTGCAGTCACTTACCTCTCCTGGATCCCAGTAGGCCGGCAGGAGACACTGAGACCCAACTTGAGATGACTGTCTGTAAACAACTTCAGCGGTGTGTAAGCCATGTGTCCTCAAAGTTTCTTACCCAAAGTGTCCCTTCTCTTTTTTTCCAGTTCTAAGACTTGAACTCTGGGCCTGGGCACTGTACCTCAGCTCTTTAGCTCAAGGATAGTAGTCTTCCAGATGATACACAGCTCCACTTCTGGCTTTTTTTTCCTGCTTATGTGGTGCTGAGGAATTGAACCTAGGGCCTCAAGCATGCAAGGCAAGTGCTCTACCACTGAGTCACCTTCCCAGACCTTATGATTGTATTTCTATCCACTGTTCTGGATTTGCTTTCATATTGTGCTTCATCATTGATTGCATTTGAGACAACTGTTTTCATGCCAGGCCCAAATAGCTGTAAATTCCTGAGAAGCTTTTGCTGCATCCCAGAGGTTCCGGAAAGTTGTGCTATGGTTTTGATTCTTGAATTTGTAAACTTGTTCCTTCATTTGATCCTTAAGTCTTATGGCTGACTTTGGGCTCGACAGCCTATCACTTGATGAGAGGGGTCTTAAGCCAACATTCTAACTTGGCCTGGACTTAAGGGTCTATGGCCTCCAGTAGTACTAGCTCATGAAACCGGGGCAGCAGTAGGCATCTGTGCACTGGCTCACTGTCTGTCAGCAGAGGGTGACAGTCTTTATCTCATCAGCCTAACTTGGGTTTGATATCTCCCCTGCTCTCATGGGACAAGCAACTGGGGCTCCCTTTCAGGTCAGTTCCCATTTGCTTGGCATGGTTTTCCACCCTGAACTTTCAGTTTTCAGTCTTGGCTGGTGAAATGTCATCTCTATGCAGTGCTGGTTTATAACTGGGCCAGGCCAGCTCTCCCTCCTGGCTGAGAGGCACAGGGTAGAGCTGGGTCACAGCTTTATAGTTCAGGCAGGTGTATACAGATCCAGAAAATACTGTCTGCTTTATGTTGTATATCAATTCCCCACCACCAAATAGCTCCAAATTTTTCATATGCTATCTATTGCCATCTACTCCTTTCTATCTCATATATTTGTCTGTTCTGCTAAAATAAACAACTTTCCATGAAGAACAAAGCCTGGCACCTGCAGGAAAATGGATGAACCTGTATTTCATCATACATCTTGGGAAGGAAAACAAGCCAGACAAGAAACATAAATATGTTTTTCTCAAGTAGAATCCAGACTTTAAAAGACACAAACCTAGCCAGGTGCCGGAAAACCAGAAGTGAGGCTGTGGCTCAGGTGGTAGAGTGCTCCCTCTCAGCTGATGAGCTGAGGTCCAGCAGCCAGGACCAGAGTTTAATACACATGAGTAACCAAAAACAAAAAAGATATAAAGCCGTAAAGGAGACTCACACTGATGTCCTCGACCACAGGGGCCTTGGGAATGCTTGCCGTACCCAGTGGGAAACCCAGGCTTTGGGACAATGCTATGTGCTCATCAAAATACATGGATGATTTTCCCAGGGCAGGGGTGTGGCTCAGTGAACAGTAAGAGGACTTGAGCAGTAGGAGGATGTGAATAATAGGAGGATGTGAACAGTAGGGCCTCCGCAGGCAGCCCGGGTCCTTGGCCAGCTCTGCCACAGCAGGCAGCATGCCTAGCTGTCAGGACACTCAGTGTGAGCACTTAGGACTAATTGTCCTCACAGAAAAGGGCAGAGACCAAGGCCCCAGGACACTCCCCCCAACCCTCACTAAGACCTGAGGGTCAACTGTTTCTATACCTTTATTTCTTTGTGAAAAGAGGGGGAAAGGAAATAAAATATAAAAAGTACAGTTGACACAAATAAACCACCAGGGAAGGGGGTGGGGGGAGGGAAGGGGAGGGAAGTGGGAGGGAGGTGGGGATGGGGTCCCCATCTCAGCAGCAAGAGGCAGTGACCCGGATACTCGCGTCTCTCCCTACAGGGCAGAGTGGCACCTTCCTCCTGGCTGCTGTCCATCCCATCGCGTGTCCCTCAGCCTTTGGGAGGGGGCAAGGTGCCATCTCCCCAGGGACCTCAGGGAACCTGCATAGGGCCAGGTCTGGGTTCAGGCCATGCACAGGGAGGGCTGTCAGCGACACACTGGCTCCTTGAGGGAGGAGATCAGTGAGGGCTGAGCGGAGGGTGGGCCGGAGGAAGGCACTGGAGGCCCAAGCACTGGCTCTTCTTCCAGCATCAGGCAAGAGACAGAATTGGAGGAACAGGAAAGGGCCGGCTCAGAAGCCCAGCCTGGCCCTCTTGCGCTCCTGCCCAGGCCCCACCACCCTTTCCGCATCCACCTGCCTATCTGGCCCCCAGACCCTGCATGGGCACTGCCACACTCTGGCCCTCCCGGGCCCCTGCCTGGGCACCACCACCCCTCCCACCTGCCACTGCCCGCCCACCCACAGCCCGCACCAGTCAAGGCCTCCAGGGCAAAGTCCTGGTCCTGGGTCAGATTCTCCAGGACTGGCTTGACCTCGCTCTGCAGGGTGCTGGAAGCAGAGGTGAAAGGGCTGCAGCCTGAAGTTGATGGGGCCCACAGCTGGGAACTCAGTTCAGGCCTGGCCACCCCCTTGCATCTCCAGACTGCTAGCCATGCTGAGCCACCCCTCACCTCCCTTCCCTTCACACCTCCTCCCCATTCGGCTCGCCACCTCCACTGCTGACTCTTCAGTCTACAGTGAAGCCGACACTGGCAGGAAGCAGCAGGGAGCAGTGGCAGCTGAACACAGTGGTGCACATCTGGAATCCCAGCCACTGAGGAAGCCCTAGCAATAGCTGGGTGTGGTGGCACCCCTATTCCTAGCAGTGTGAGCAGCATGCACAGACCAGGCAGCCTGGGCCTACACATGCACTCTGTGAAATATAACCAAGGTAAAAAGCACTGGGCGCATGGCTCAAGTGGCAGAATGCTTGCCAAGTGAGGTCAACCCTCTCTATCACTACAAAGGAAGGAACAGTGTAGCTGGAGAGGAGCATAACAACAGCGAGTCCCAGGTCACCTGTTGTGGAGGATGGGCCTGATCTTCTGCAGGGACTTGGCCACATTGAAGCGGACTTTGGCGAAGGGGTCCCCTGCCATTCGAACAACGGTGGGCAACATGTGCTTGGTGGTGATGTCCTGCCTGCACACCTCTGACAGAACCTGGCCAAGCATGGGCACACAATCAGTACAGTCAGTGCCTGACAGCTGGGCCCGGGTGTCGAGGCGGCAAGAACCCTCACCGGCATCCAAAAGGCACACACAATTGACACCACCTCCCCGCAACTACGATTTACAATGAGCTCAACTCTGAACACGCAGCCAACGGTGTGTCTCACACCGGGTCACCCACACCCAGTCCAAGGGTGGCGGAGGCCTGGAGTCCACCCAGCTCTGGATGTGTAGAGCTGGCCCTGGCCCCCGGCCTCTCCACTCCCAAATTTGGTGTCACGACGGGGCTGTGTGTGCCTCTCCCCTGGCAATCTGGCTCCTGGGTGCAGTTGGGGAGTGAGCCACACTCACGTTTATGCAGAAGAGGGTGGTCATGCGATGCAGGTAGTTGGGGTCTCCGGACATGGCCAGCACTTTGGGGATGATGGTGGCATGGGCCCACTCCTTCCTGAACTTCTCCACCAGCTTCTTGAGGTTGCTGGTGGCTGCCTTACAGATGGCATAGACTGCAAGGGGGACAGGAAGGCTGCCACGCCGACTCCAGTGGAGTCTGCTTAGCATGGGAAACCATCTATCAGACCAAGATAGGGGCTTCAGAGACCTATCTCTGAGTTTTGGGACTTCACTGAAGTCTACCTCAGAGAATGGGGCTTTACAGAAACCTATCTCCAAGTTTTGGGACTTCACCGAAGTCTACCTTGGAGAATAGGGCTTCTAAGAGGCCTACTCCTGGAAAAAGGCTGGCAAGCCCCTGGGAAAGATGTGTTTCTGCCTTTCTTTTCCTCACTGTATAAGAGTGCCTATTAATCTTTTACTGTTTCTGCTGCTCATTGTGCTTACTCATTGTCAACGTTCCCTTATTCAAAGCTCTTTCTTAAGAGTGTTGACGACTCCAATATCTGATGAATGTCTCAAAAATATGACTAACTCACCAGAGTTAAGTGCTACCCTGCAACCCCTCTTATGAAGGCTAGTAGACAAGTTATAAGCAAATATAAAAGTATTGGGGGTTTCACAAAGTCACTCCAGCAGAAGGAATTGTAAGAAATTTACAAGAAGCTGTAGGCGCGGCTAGAACAGAAGGAATGTATGGCAATTGCTGAGATAACTACTTAGGAGGAAGAACTTCCTGGTACTCTCATTTACTGAGACTTGCTAGATCTAGGCCTCCGTGACCTTACTATTAAAGAAGGAACAGGAAAAATCTTATGGGATAATTAAGGCCTCTATAGAAATAAGGTAATGGTTAGTTGGTGACAAACGTCGAAACTCATTATATTTCTTAGAGATAAGCCGGAAACAAGTGCCTTTCAGGCGACCAGCTGGTGACCACCTAAGAATGAAGCCCTGCAGCAAGATTGTGTAAACTTTTGCCCTTTCAGGCGACCAGCTGGTGACCATCCAAGAACGAAGCCTTGCAGCAAGATTGTGTAACCTTTTGCCCCTTTCTTATGAAGACTTCTGTTATAAAAGTTTGTTATCCTCTGCATTAAATCGCACTCAGCACTCAGCACTCAGCATCCACTCCTAATGTGTGTGAGTTGTCTGTTTGCCATCTCCCCATCCTATTCCAGGTTCCTCCCCTAGGTATCCTCCGTCGTCCCGACAGAACCCGGTCCGTGGCAGAAGGCCATGGGGGAGTGTTAGAGTGGGTCAGGGCTCAGCACCAGCATCCCTCAAGGTTCCAACAGCAGGGGGCTACACAGACAGAACAGTGGCGTGCCCCGCCCACTGGCTGCCAGCTCCTTATGGCAGGACTCACCATGGTCCACCAGCCATGCTATGCACAATGAGTTGAGTTTCTCATCAAAGAATTCCACTCCCTGCCAGAGGAGAGAGGTGGTGAGGGCTCAGAGGGTGAAGGAGGATAGCCAGCCTCCTCTCCCCTCCCTGCCCTACCCGGCATGCCCTGGATCACGCACCAGCTGCCTAGCCACCAGGGACATGTACTCAATGATGGCCAAACGCACCCGCCACTTGGCGTCCTGGGCTAGCTCCACGATGGCTGGCAGAAGCGACTGGGACAGCTGCCGGATGGCGAAAATCTCCTTCACATAGTCCAGGTTGGAGATGATGTTCAGCCGCACCTCAAGGGACTGCAGAGGATGGGGATCCAGTGATGCCTGGCCCAAGGCGGCCCTGAATGGGGGGAGGGGTGTGCCACCCCACAGCAACACCCTACAGACCTGCCATCTCCCCAAGGTCACTGCCCCAGCCCCAAACTGGCCCTGGGGATACCTGCTGGACTCCGCAATGGCAATCGATCACCTGGGTGGGGGACTCGGGGAGGGAATACTCACCTGTCCCTCAGCTGGGCCAGGAAGAGTGGCAGGAGGTGATCAATGGTGTTGTCTTTGCCCAGAAGGGGAGAAAGGCCGATGATGACAGAGGCCAGGGCAGACTTCATGTGCTGGTTGGCATCTGACACCAGTTCCTGGGAGGGAGAGGGGAGGGAGGCCCAGGGGGACCTGCCTCAGCCTCCTCTGCACATGATTGGCAGGGGGGTTGGGGGCGGGCTGCAGGGGTCCTGTCTCCATCTCCTTGGCTGAAGACTATGACCCAGGTGCCTGGGGCATTTCCACAGCCTGTTCTGGGCCCTCTTTAATGCCCAGCTGACTCCCTCCTCCAATCCGGTTACCTTGATGCACAGCAAGATCTGGGTCATGATGACTTTCTCACGACAATCTGCAGAGAGGTTCTCGAAGAACGCTGCAGGCCAGGGCGGGGGATGAGATGGTGCCAGCTACACCTCCACCCTGAGCCCCCCCTCCTCAAGCATGGGTCACGGGCACCCACCTTTCACCTTGTGGGAGTCCGCGGCCCTCACCTTGGCCTCGCAGTCCTTTATCAGCTTCTAGAAAGCAGGCACCAGGTCTGTCCTGGTGATCTCAAGCCCCACTGCTTTCTGGAGCTGTCAACCTGGAACCAGGGAGAGGCAGGATGTGTGGAGCGAAAGGGGGTCTGGCAGCCTCTCTCAGTTATTGAGGACAAAATCCAGGCAGAAGTGGTGCAGAGGTGTGGAGACTAGGCAGGCTGCTCTCCCCAGAGCCAGGCCACGTCCCCAGCAGCGTGTGCCAAAACCAAAGACCTTAGTTCACACTGTCCCAAGTGGGGCTTTCTGTGACCGGATCCACAAACATGCCAGCGATGCAGACTCTCCCGCTTTTACATTTACACTAAAATATAGTGGGCTGAGTCACTAAATGGGCAGGGGAGCTACTGAGAGACTTCTCAGAAGAGAGAAGAATGGCAAAGAAACACAGGAGGATATGCTCATCATTCCTGGGCTTGAAGGAAGTACAAATCACAACAACCCTGAGATTCCATCTTAATCCAGTTAGATTGGCCAGCATTGTGAATTCGAACAAATGCTGGCAGGGATGTGGAGAAAAGGAGCCCTACTGTGCAGCTGGTGGCAATGTGAACTAGTAGAGCCACTCAGCACAGCAGTCTGCAGGTTCCTCCAAATACTAAACACAGACATTCCCTCCCACCCATTCCTGGGCATCTACGCTGAACGTCATGACAAGGACACCTGCACACCCATGTTCACTGCCACAGTACTCACAATAGCCAAGATATGGAAACAGCCCAGATGCCCCACAGTAGATGAGTGGACCCACAATGTGGCCAATGGAACTTTACACAGCCATTAGAAAGAATAAGATAATGTCACTTGCAGGGAAATGGATGGAACTAGAACAAATCATGTGAAGTGAGGTAAGTCAAGATTGGAGATTAACAGTGCACATTCTCTGATATAAGGAAGTTAGATCTAAAATGCACTGGGATATGACAAATGCCACAGGATTCCAGAGACTCACACACAGTGAGACCAAAGGAGAATAGTCTTAGGAGAGAATCACAAAGGCCCAATGCCTAAGCGTCTCTTCATATTCATATAAAATATTACACATATGGAAACAAATCCCAAGATGTGGAAACAAAATACATATATATATTTTGGTTTTAGCTTTTGATTTTTCTGTGTTCTTTATGTGATAAACAGCCTGTTCTCATGTTATGTTTGGGAGGGTCCAAGGAGGGAAAAAGGATGGAAAAAAGTGCATCCATGGAGCTCACTGGACATTGATGAAAGTGAACTGCTCAGCTGTGGGTAGAGACGGGAGGGAGGGGCTGGGAGGGAATGAGAGAACAGCAGGGACTCACTGCACAAAAGAAAATGTCCTGCAGAAACTAAACCAAGATGAGTTAAACCATCTTAACAGGGCCATATCAAGTATTGAAATAGAAACAGCAATAAGAGTCCTCCCATCGAAGAAAAGTCCAGGACCAGATGGTTTTACAGTGGAATTCTACAAGGCCTTCAAAGCAGAACTCACACCAACACTCCTCCAATTCTTCAATGAAATTGAAAGAGAAAGTTCACTACCGAACTCATTCTATGAAGCCATCATAACCCTCTTCCCAAAACCAGGCAGGGACTCATCAAAGAAAGAGAACTATACACCCATTTCTTTGATGAACATTGATGCAAAACTTCTAAACAAAAGTTTGGCCAACTTCAACAATTCATCCAAAAAATCATACACCACGATCAAACAGGATTCATTTCAGGGATGCAAAGCTGGTTCAATATACGCAAATCAATTAATATAATTCATCACATCAACAAGAGCAAGGATAAGAACCACATGGTTTTCTCAATAGGTGCAGAAAAAGCATTTGACAAGATCCAACACCACTTTGTGATAAAGGTTCTGGAAAAATTAGGAATCCATGGGACCTTCCTCAATACAATAAAGGCTGTATATGACAAACCTACAGCCAGCATTGTACTTAATGGTAAAAAACTAAAGCCATTTCCTCTAAACTCAGGAACGAGACAAGGATGTCCACTCTCTCCACTGCTCTTCAATCTAGTATTAGAATGCCTAGCTACAGCAATAGGACAAGATGCAAACATAAAGGGGATCCAAATAGGGAAAGAAGAAATAAAACTCTCCATATTTGCAGATGACATGATCTTGTATTTAAAGAATCCCACAGACTCCATTCCCAAATTACTCAAGCTGATTCAAAACTTTGGCAAAGCAGCAGGGTATAAAATTAACCCTCAAAAATCAATGGCTTTTCTGTATGCTAACAAGGAGAAAAGTGTGGCTAAAATTAGGAAAGCAACTCCATTCATAGTAGCCCCACAAAAAATAAAATACCTATGAATTAACTTAACCAAAGAAGTGAAGGACCTCTATGATGAAAACTTTAAAAACTTGAAAAAGGAAATCAAAACAGAACGTAGAAAGTGGCAAAAACTCCCATGCTCCTGGATTGGAAAATGGCAATACTTCCCAAAGCTATGTACAAATTCAATGTGATACCTATCAATATTCCAACCTCATTCTTCAAGGAAATAGAAGAGGCAATCCAAAATTTCATATGGAACAATAAAAGACCCGAATAGCAAAAATAATCCTTAACAGAAAGAACAGTGCTGAAGGAATATCAATACCAAATTTCAAACTCTACTATAAAGCCATAGTAATCAAAACAGCTTGGTATTGGCACAAGAACAGACCTCAGGACCAATGGAATAGAATTGAAAACCCAGAAATGAACCTACAGATGTATAGCCATCTAATCTTCGATAAGGGAGCAAAAAAAAAAAAAAAATAGAATTGAAGAACGACAGCCTCTTCAGTAAATGGTGTTGGCAAAATTGGTTAACTACTTGTAGAAAACTAAAACTAGATCCTTATATATCACTCTGCACCAGAATCAACTCCAAATGGATCAAAGACCTTGGAGTCAAAGCAGACACTCTGAAAATATTACAGGATGGAATAAGAGAAACCATCGGTCTCCTTGGCACAGGCAGAAATTTTCTTAATAGAGATCCAGAAACACAACAAATCAAAGAAAGGTTGGACAAATGGGATTGCATGAAATTGCAGAGCTTCTGCATGGCAAAGACATAGCTAGCAAGATCAATAGAAAGCCCACAGATTAGGAGAAGATCTGCACTAGCTATACAACAGACAAGGGTCTCATATCTAAAATATACCTGGAATTCAAAAAATTAAATCCCCAACAACAAATCTTCAAAGAAACAACTGCCCAATAAATAAGTGGACTAAAGACTTAAAGAGAAACTTCTCTGAAGAGGAAAGAAGGATGGCCAACAGACACATGAAGAAATGCTCAACCTCCCTAGCCATAAATGAAATGCTAATCAAAACAACATTGAGATACCACCTCACCCCAGTTAGAATGGCAAAAATCAAGAACTCCAATAACAACAGATGGTGGAGGGGATGTGGACAGAAGGGAAGCTTACTTCATTGTTGGTGGGAGTGTAAACTTGTTCAGCCCATGAGATTCTTATCTCCAATTCTTATCTCCACTCTCTGGTGGTAGAGTGCCAGCCTGGAACAAAAAAGCTCAGCAACAGCATCCAGGCCCAGTTCAAACCACTGGACTGGCATAAAAGAAAGAAAATAGAATGAGACATTTCTGTGCAGGAATTTCTTTGGCAATAATGGCCATTTTTTTCTAAAAATGTTTTCATCCCCAGAGAACTCATTTGGAGATTAGAGGTAAGCATTTCATGCATATTCCTGAAAGCAGGGTGATCTCTTTTCATGCCTGGTCGTTTCTGAGGAGGTAGCTTCATTCTCTAATTCCCTACTCATTTTCATCTTAGCAGTGGTGATTTTGAAGCAGAAATTTGTCACTGTGCTCGAGAGGATCAGCAGTGACTCCTCACCCTGGGTTTCTGGTCTACCTCATTGCATGTGACTCCATTCCTCACCTGGACCCTCCTAGTCTTGCTGACAATTCCTCTGCCCTGTTCTTGTCTGTTTCAAGAACATGCATTTGCCTTTCTGTGTCTGACTTCTTGCATTTCCCACAGCGATCTGTAGTTCTACACATGCGGCAGCAAATGACAGGATTTCCTTCTTGTTGCTGGCCTAGTTGTACTTTGTGATGGAAATAGACTACATCTTCTTTTTTGTGTGTGTGAAACATCTTTTTATTAAACAGCAAAGCAGAAATGCAACACAATTTTAAATATTTGTAAATTTAGGTCACAAAAGGGATGCAAAAGGGATGTTTGCAGTACGACAATTACATCTTCATATAGTTAAAGTCATTTATGAAATCTTATACTAGAACATAAGATTATCCCATGATTAAAGTAGTTCAAATCTAATAACCATAAGCTATATTAGTGGATCTCATTTCCTAGTTTAATAACTTAATATTACCTCTGATATTGATTCCTTTACCAAATGGAATCTATGAACTAAATTTTTAGAAATTGTTATGAGAATGACTAAAATTCTACCAACCAATTAGTTAAATTTACAGAGTGAGATAAAAATACTGAGCTTCCCATGCTGCTGATCACATGTATGGTGTATAGTGTACACCACTATATGTTATAGACTTTGATAGACAATTTGCCCCAGGAAAGTTAGAATGAACTTGTGACTTTAAATGAGCATCATTATTCCACAGTACTGTGAAATTTGGGAAATTATGTATTCACTTAACCACAATTTTTATAAAAAAGGACATCAGGGAAAGTAGGGAGCGAAGGGATGGTAGGGGGAAAACAATGGAGGGGGAAACAATACTCAATAGGAACTGTACTCATTACCTTGCTAACGTAACTGTAACCCTCTGTATAGTATCTTTACAATAAAAAAAATTTAAAAAAATACTGAGCTTACCAATTATTATACATATAAAATTCTCTCATTCATGATTCTACTACCAGTATACTCTTCAAGGAATTTGGTAACAGTTCATTGACTAGGTACAACAAATAAACCTTGCAACCAAATCCGAGAGCTGGAATAGCATAGCATGTGGTGTATGTAAGATCAATTAAACTTAACCCATTTTCATATATATATATATATATATATATATATATATATATATATATATATACATATATTTCCTGGAAGAGCTCTTCTGTGCCAGAGACAATACAAATTGGAAATGAAAACATTTGGAGTTGGTTGCTATGTTTATCACATTATATTTTTACCTATTTCTCTGTATTCCTCCCAGACTTTCTACTTCTAATCAATACATAACAAAAATTTTTTTTAGGGGGGGGAGTCCAGTCATGAGGCCTGATCTCTAGGCCTGGGTGCTGTCCCTCAGCTCTTCAGCTCAAGGCTAGCCCTCTACAACTTGAGCCATAGCCCCACTTCCTGCTTTTTTCTTTTTGCTTATGTGGTGCTGAGGAATCAAACCCAGGGCCTCATACATGCAAGGCAAGCCCTCTACCACTGAGCCACCATCGCAGCCCATAAGCAAAATTCTTATCTTTTCAGATAGCAAGTGGGTTATTTCGTGCAAAAGCAAGTTGGTTCTTTGTTTTTAAACAGATCTCAATTTGATAATTTAGTTTCAACAATCCTCTTTATAGTCCAAATCTGCTTTCAAATGATTAAAGAGAAACCATCAGTCCTATATTATTATTAGAAAGTACAACTGACAAACTTTAGGCAAGGTTTTGGTTAACTTCAGGACTTACAGATCAGAT